GTTCCATTTTTAGAAGGCTCTCACAATTGTATTATTGTAACTATTTTATGTACAGACGTTCTGACTTTCTAATATTGTTACTGGCAGATGTTCAAATTAAAGTCAAAGACCACAATTGTGGAGCAAAGGATCGACAGCTCACATTAAAAAGGTACATTTGAAAGCAACTGAAGCATGAAATGTTCTTGTAGATGTACTTATATGGTTTTTGAAGTTCATAGACAAATAGCAATATAGCAGTCATTTCAGCTTATAGAGTACTGTAATAGGAAGGCATGAAATAGACAAGTTCACAAAGAGGAACTGATGCACATTTTTGTATTCATAACTGATTATTAGGTCATGAGCTTCAATTCAAGGCATAAATTGGATGCACTAGTTTAGAAATACATCATTTCCAACAAACTAGGGATTTCTGTTTACCCTGCAAGAGCATTTTAAAACATTTTGTGCTTTTTTGTTCATTAAGTCTTAGAAGAAGCATTTTCACTCCTTAAGAGACCTGCAATATTGTCTTTTCTTGAGACAACATTGTTTTCCTCAGAATTCATTAGTTCTGCCAACTTTTTTTCCAGTAGAAGAAAAAAACATTAAGGTATATGTGTTTGTTCTGAGAATGCTAGTATCAGTAATATTTAGCATTTCTATGTTTTTCCCTCAAGGAAAAGAATTGTATGGCTATTATCCACTTTTAACTCTTAAAACAATTAAGTAAGCATAATCACCTCCATATTATAGATTGGGGGTGAGAACAGACAGAGGGATTAGGGACAGAGAGAAAGCAGTTTTCCAGATGCTGTCCAAGTGAGCTTACAACAGAAATAAGGTTAATTTTATTTATCTTTGATGGCTTCCATTCCAATTGTGCACAATTCTATCACCCTCTGATCCAGCAACAAGATTAAAAACAATAAACTGTATAATAATTATTATATCAAAGCACCAAGACACAGCACCCAGCAACAACCAAACAGGAGGCAATAAATTCAAACCAAGTTCCAAAGGCCTTCCAAAAAAGCCAGGTCTTCACAGTTTGAACTGGAAACATCCTCATTCATAGTGCTCTCTTCTAAAATATTAACTATATCAGCTATCCTTTCAATACTACTTGTAATGAAGGAGATCCCAATCCAAACAGCTTGGTCACAGGGAGTCTGCCTTGATGAAGATGAAACTTTACTGCCTTAAAATGACGACAGCCTCCTAAAATGTTTCCAGAAATATCTTGAAGATGCTTCTGTGTTTTTGGTAATGCAAGATTATTGCAGTAATTTAGCAGTCAGTCACACTTTAGCCTCATTATTTAAATGGCATTAAGTGCATTTTAGTTGGTACTGACTTGTAGCCAATGATGAGATGGGATGGGATGAAGAGACAGACTCCAGGAAGAAATATATGATAATAAGCTTAGTAACTGCTTGCTTTTGCTGACTTCTTGAAGGAAGTATGAAACATTTTATTGATCCATGGATCTCTCTCACTATCTTCATTATTGTGTATATTGTGGAAATTCTTTCTTCAGAGAAGCTATCGTGGAAAAAATATTTAATGAATACACAAGTTCTATGGCAAGAGTTTGCAATACATGGCTTTTGAATCACTTTGCATACAGATCTTGCCTTTCTACTTAGAAGCTGGAGGCCAGATTTATTGTTTTGGCAATTGCCAAATAGATTGATTTTTTACCAACTGCTCATCAAGATTTTCAATATGGATAGTCGTATCTACTACATATTTTAATTGTCCCTGAGAAAAAGGTCTACCACCAGGTGATGTCATATTAAACACAGAAGTTAAATAGCTTCTGATGGGCCCCTGTTTCCTTTAGAGTAATTCTGAACAAGATAGTTTCTAATATGCTGAAACAACACAAACTAATGTATATTCTAAGACAATAGGGGGAGACAGACCAAACACATAATGAAGAAGCTTTTATTTCACATAGTTACTTACTCCTAAACTATTTAAATTACATCCAACCAAAAATGGACAAATATATCACTGTTTGACAATTACTGTTCTTGGATTATCAACAAGTATAACAACAATGTCTAATTATAGGTTAAGACAATTAAATGAATGCAGCACCTTAAACTTTGCTAAAAAGAAAACTCACTGCACTTTAAAGAGAAAACTAATGTGATTTTCACACAGAAATGAAAATATAAGCATATTTCATGTTAGCAATCTAATCCCAGTTTGAAGATCACAATTCAAAGTTCTACATTAGAATAACCATTAAAATACTGTTTGCTTCTGAGTTTTTAAAAAGAGGCTTAAACTGTAATGGTGTTTAAAAATGTTGAAAGCACAACTGCTTTTTCAGTTATGCCACAAGATATTAGAGAAATTCAGACTCTTCTGTAGCTCTTAGCCACATCTGACTCCAATCTTAATAGCTGAGCTATTAACCCTGTAAATTTTCCCTTCCTACCCCCCCAGCTGATGTTAAAGTTTATCCAGGTAGCTAAGGCTGACTGAAAGTAATATCCCTTAATGCAAAGAAAAACAGTCATATGGATGATGCAGTATAAATGTGACTTGCAATGTGATCTTATGCAAAGTTCACTTAGAAATAAATATTCATGTATTCAGTGGAACTGATTTCCAATACTGATGCACAGTATGTAGTCTTAAGATTATGGAGACACCAGACTTTTTTAACATAGTGGGTCTTCCTTCCAAGGGCACATTTATAGGACCAAGCTGTAATTGTTTTAAGCTTTCCATCAGTGTTTAATGATGAAGTAGAGAAATCTCTGTTCTTGGAGCAGTTTAAATTAGGCATCTGTAGAGGCTAAATTGCTTGTTCAGCAAGCAGTTCAAACAACATACTTACTAGCAGTGTTCTTCCATGTAAATTGTTTTCCAAATCCTTCAGCAGAGCCAAAGAAAGGGACCATAATTCTGAAAACCCAGTTAGATGCTGCTAAAGTTATGGCAAGAGCTGGGGGTGGAGGAGAAGACAGTCTCCAAGAGTCTTCTCAACTACAACTCAAGTTATAAAACAAAATATAGTATCTATTTGTCTTACAAATTTTTTAATCTTAGCGCATGGAAAATATATATGGTAGTCTTTAAATTCCCCTCTTTGTAACGGCAGCTTGTAAAATCTTTATCTGTGTTTCAGCTGTCTAGTTGATGGCATTTAGAAATATCAAAGGGGGAGGGGAGTTTTATTTTCACCAGCTGTAGGATCAAACTCAGAGTTTTTGACTAGAGACCTAGACCAAGGCTTCTAGTAGAAGCTGATGACAACCTGAATGGAAAAACCGCCAGGCATCCTAGAGAAATGGTTACTGTTTTAGATCCTTATGGCAAGGTTTATGGAGTCTTCTAAGATTGATTCTCCTCCCTCCAAAGTGTGATAAACATATCTTTTTGAAGACTCTAGACATAGAGATATTGATAGAGAAACCCCAAAAGAACTGCCCTCTCTGCCCCAAAAGAACTGCCCTAGGGCAGAATGATACACAAATTATCTCAGTTCTAGAATCCATATCCATAAACTAGAAGGTAGTTGAAACATTGACCCTTGAGTGAAAATAACGTAGAAAGCATACTCTTTCTGGGAGACAAGGCAGTTGTCACCCAAGTGACAGACAACAGCTGAACTCACACATCTGGACATGCCAAAACTCACACCCATCTATAGTCATGGCCTGCTAGAAAGACAGATGGAGCTTTCCTTGCTAGGAGTAAAAATAATAAATAAAACCAGATATTCCAGTGACTGCCGCTAGCTTTGTGGTTTTTAAATATTCCATCCTTTGATTACAGTGTAAAAGCTTACTACAGACCTAAGAGATAAATACAGCTTCTTAGTGTGAAGAATTTTTAATTATACACATGCCCTGACCTCAATATAATAAATAGCTTTGTAAATTCCTAATGCTATGTTCTAATCTGGGTGCTTGCATTTCTTCATGCAAGTGTATGTCCACGTGTTGGTAAAGAGCAGCCGCTGCCATGCAGACACAGCAATCAGAAGTTCCTTCTTTGGGATTTGGCTTAAGTTGGTTACTACTCTAACGGGAACCTGCAATCTGCCCAATGGGCTCAATAGTTATGGCAGGTTCTTCAGCACAAGCTCCCTCCAGAGTTCTCTAAAGCAAAACCCAATGTTGGGCACACTGAAGGAAAATTAAGGTGTTTCTTATACCTCATGTTTCTCATATCCACTACAATTTAGCCCCAGGTGTCTTGGATGTACCAAGAAATACATCCAGTGAACTTTGTTCTCACCGGATACAGTAGCATAATCCAAGCCCAGCCAAGCTCCTGCGGCCATTAGGGCAGGTACCCAAAGCCCCATTCAGCAAAACAGACAGACCTCTCTCCCACACATCAGAGGCTTAATACATTTTAAAAGTAGAGACACAACCCTCAAAAAGATCCCCATAAGAGCCATAAGCATAACAAATAAAGTTATTTAATTGCCTCACGGATTCTGAACTTTGGCTCTTAGACTGAGGAGGGTGTATTCTTGGCGTTCCGCATTAATTAAACTTCATTACCTACCTACCACTCCTCCGTCCCGCATTGCCCATTTCTCTATCCAGACCATAAGGTATCCATTAAAAAAAATAATGATAGCGCAGCACGAGATAGAGTGGCCTCATTCAATATAGCGGGATTTACTTCCCAGAGCAATTCTCTACGCATTTACCCAGGATTACATCGCCGCTGCTAGAGCTTACTGCCAGGTAAATGCATTTAGGACTGCAGCTTCCACATTTCAGGGTCAAGCGGCTGTTTTGCAACCCGGCGCCGCGACCGCTACTTTCCGAAGCAGAAAGCGGCAGCGGGCTTGGCTTTGCAATTCCCCCGCGCTCTTCGGTCTGCGGACAGTGACAGGAGATGCTGCGGGGAGAGCGCTAAGCCATCCTGCAGGCAGGTCCCCTTTCCCTCGGAGAGGCGAGAAGGCTCCCACCGCTAAAGAGCAACTTCCCCTCCCTGCTCTTTCCTCCCCGCTAGCAAAAGAACGCTTAGCGACTCACTGCCTAAGAGAAGGGCTCCGGCGACGCAGCGGCCAGGTATTCCTACGAGGGGCGAAGAACCAACATTGAAGAGGAACCAACGGTGCTCAGAAGCCCGGCTCGGCTCTGCTCTGCTCTCGCGGCTTCCTGAGGAAATCAGTGCAAGCTGGAGCCCCGCATAGTAAACGCGAAACACGGGCGGGAGATGTCAGCGAAGGCGCCGCGGAGAGGCGGGACGGGCCGTCCACTAAGCCCTCAGCCCCTGCAAGAACCAGCCCAAGAGATCCGCGAGCTCCCTTCTAATGGGACTCCAGCGCTGGGTGCCCACTACAATGAGAAAAGCTTTCCTCGCAGCTCATTGGCTGCAGCCGGCCGCACAGGCCAATCGCCGGAGGGCGTCGTTTCTCCGGGAGTTGAGAAAACTCGGAGAAGTGGATCAGTCCAACCGAGGGAGGCTGGTTTCCCCGGCAGCCTGGTAGCGAATGGGAAGGTTTTCGGGAAGATGTTGGTGTATCCGGGCAGGAGGAGCGAAAGCAAAAAGGAGGAGGCATCTCGCAGCGGTGTGTTTGCTTGGTCGTTGAGCGATCCGGACGTCGTCTTAAGTGCCATTCCATGAAACGGATGATCAGTTTCTTGCGATTTGAAGTTCGTCGAGGCATAGCAAAGTTTTCGACAATTAACTCCTTACCTTGATTAATTTAAATCCGGGAAATGAACTCACATCTTCGACTTCCTTCTCAAACTTCAGGGGAATTTCTTGAATTTGATCCTGTACTGATGATGGTCATTGCATCTCCACAAATACTATGGCGCCCAGGCCTACAAAAATACTACTTGAAGCTGCCTAATATTTCACCTTTGATACTTTGCCAGTGGCAAGGTTATCTGAATGAAGTGAAAAATACGACACTTCTACGCTCAGATGGAATTGTCTTTCTGACTGACCGTGCTCTCAGAAAAGGTCACCATCTGATATTTCTTTCCATATTGTACATAAAATGCAAAACGATTTTCCATTATTCCTCAGTTGCTTTAATGGCAGGCATTTTCAAATGCCAGCCAGTCACTGCACATTAGTAACACTGATAGGAAACTATTCCAACGTAAGTAAAAAGTGATGCTGAAACATCTGAATAAATACACACATGTATTTTCAGATTGAGCAATAGAGACTAGTCAAGGGAGGTCAGCATATAAGCCTACAAAGATGGCCTTGGGTTTGCATGGAAGACATGCTCATATGTTCATATGTGCAGTACAGGAATGAACAGAACATCGCTTTATATAAAAATAAGGCCAGGAGTCCAGACTCTGCTTTATCTACCCTGAGCTTCAGCAACCCCCAGATCCAGTGTGTGGACCACGTTTCATGCTGGCTGGAGATGATGTGTAGTAGCTTCAGATGATGGCAGACGACATATGTAAGTGTGATGAGATTGCTTCTCTTCAGGATCTTATTGCCCCCCCCCCAACTTACTTGGTGATGTGGAAACTTTCTTGATTTGTCTGAATTATCTCAGTTCTAGAATCCATATCTTTTGAGGCCACTTGTGACATTCAGATCTAAGTTCACTTTCACATTAACATTCAGTGTAAAGCAACTCATTAGATTCGGAAGTCAAATGTTGCACAGTGAATGAATTCTTAAATATAACTTTTTGGGGGGTGGGGGTCTGCTTATATATCTACATCCCTATCTTTTTTCTGTATTAATAATAATAATAATTTATTAAACTTGTATGCTGCCTGACTTTCAACGACTCTGGGAGGCTCACAACAATCAAATAAATTACAATAAAACACAAAAAAGAAAAAAAAGATGGCAAACATGTTGAAACGAGGGGTCTCACTCTCCCTCACCAAAGGCCTGGTTGAAGAGCCAGGTCTTTAGGGCTCTTCTGAACAACAGCAGAATGGGGGCCATCTAGATCTTGGAGGAGCCACATTCTAGAGGGCAGGCACTGCAACAGAGAAGGCGTGCTTTTGGGGTCCTGAGAGATGGCATTGTTTAATCGAAGGAACCTGGAGTATGCCAACCCTGTAGGATCCAATTGGCCAGGCAGATGTTATGAGAGACAGGCGGTCTCTCAAGTAACCAGGCCCTATGCTATATAAGGCTTTAAAGGTGACAGCCACCACCTTGAATTGCATCCGGTATTCAATTATGTTTTATTTTCTAATGCTGTCACACAAGTTCTGGGTTATGAAAATAGATCCCAGAACATATATTCTCTTATAAATTACAGTGTAACGTGGGAAGTCACACACTTTTTGAGATTTTCCAGGGACAATGAGATGCAATGTAGAAATTCAAAGAAACTAATAGCATATATAAATGTGGTTCCATATTATATGTGAATGATATTGAGTTATAAAGATGCTAAACATCATATTCTGGAATGATTTTAGGATTCTCTAGCAAGGGAAAAATGACAGAGTGGGTAGGTGAAATCAGGAAGAAAACCTTATCAGAATGGTTCTGCTCTGTTTATTCCTAATTTATGCCACAAAGGTGATGCTATAAATATATTCTTTTGTGCTGTCTGTTCAAACATTTCTGAAACCATTATCACCAGATCTTCACTGCTACATTATTTCCTTCACTTGTTTTAGCCCCCAATGATAGGAAATTAGAAGTTTGCTTGAAAATAAGAATGACTTTTTAATGGGTTTTACAGTCATTTGTTAACAGATCTGTATCTGCTATTTTCGTCTTAAAATATTTCTTGGCTATCTCATGCTGTAAAGTTATAGATTTCTTTGTTTAAAATTAATTTATAAGGCTTTTAATTATGCTTCCATATTATATATGGAAAGTTTGTCCTAATATGTCATCCGTGTTTTTAAGGATACTTCATAAAGTAAGATGGTAACTAGAAGGAAAATGTGAGAGAAGTCGAAGCCAGGCATTTGCACAAATCCTGATTAAATACATCACTCTGCAAATAAACCCCAGATGATCCAACAAATCATTGCTGTTCATAGTTGATTAGTTTCTATCCTTCTGGGTCACTTTCCAACAGTTTCTGCATTGACTGACTGCTCCTTTATTTTTTGCAAAAATGAAGAACAACAAAAGCCCACATTGACCCAAATGAGAGTCAGAGATACTGTTGTTTTCAAATACAGTTTGCCTTGTGCATAAATGGGTGCATGTGTCTGTTCTCATCATCTTTCTGGAGGACCAGCAGCTACCTAGCTATAAAGTAACCATTAGCTTGGATTCAAATGACATACCACTGTTCCTTAAATATCGTCTAACCGGTGCCATGGGTTCAAATGATACAGTAAACCATACAACACTATGGATTAGTGTGTCATATGAATAAAGTCAGTGTGCTACGGTGAAATATGGTAGGAGACTGTAGACTATCCAGTTGGATTATATCAGGACTATCCCTTAAGATTTCTGAAAAATATAATACCAGGACTGAGTTTCAAGAAGATGCATCCATCTTTCTTCCTCCCTTCCTTTCTCATAAATATTACAGGGTGCACTGGGGCTAAAAGCAGGTTTTTGTGCTATATTTTGTCTCTGAGTATGAGTCTTGGCTCAAAGTACAGTGGTACCTCGGGTTGCGAATTTAATCCATTCCATGACTCTGGTCGCAACCCGATTTGTTCGCAACCCGAAACAAATTTTCCCATAAGGTTCAATGTAATTACCGTTAATCCATTCCGGCATCTGCGGACCACGCGTCAAGGGCGGAAAAATGGCCACGGACCACGCAGCAGGGCGGAAAAATGGCCGCGGACCACGCAGCAGGGCGGAAAAACGGCCGCGGACCGCGCGGCATGGGTGGAAAAACGGCCGCGGACTGCGCGGCATGGGCGGAAAAACGGCCGCGGACCACGTGTCACGGTGGAAAATGGCCACGGATCCGGTTCGTACCCCGAGGCAGAGTTCGCAAACCGAGGTAAATTTTTGTGGCCAGAGCTGGTCGTAACCCGAAAAGTTCGTAAGCAGAGGCGTTCGTAACCCGAGGTACCACTGTAGCTTCTTTATGGCTTGGTACCAGGATATTGCCCTATTCTGGTATATTGTCCATATACCAGAACTTTATGAATGACCATGGCGAAGTTAGGAAAGAATGTATAATTGTACACTTTTCTATTTTTACTGCCAAGTAATCTAGGCATATACAAGAAGTGAGGCCAATTTTAAGAAATGCATTGTTCAACAGGTTAGTCTTTAATATTTCCTGGTCCACTCTTCTATTATTTTCACTGCTAATATATCAAAGAGGCTTTGCATGAAGACTGTCTTAAATTTAATCTGTGGATTCACCTCTTAAAATAGTTTCCTGCCAACAAATAAGTTCATCTCCTTAAAGAAGTAATTTTTGGATCACTTTGTTCTAAATATTGAGGGCAAGGTTCTTGAATGAATAGTAATGGCCTCATTTCAAGAATTCTCAGATAAAACCAATTATCTAGAGCAATTTCAGTTTAGTGTTAGACCTGGTTAGTGATGAAAGCAATTTTTGTTGCTATAGAAGCTGAACTTGATGGGAAAATTGATGGGGAAACACATTCCCTGTTGATTCTACTAGAATCTCAATAGTTTTAATACCATTGAACACTATATTTTTCTGGCCTGGATGCTGAGCAAGGGCTTCAGACACTATATTACAATGTCTCCAGCCCCTTCTTGCAAGTAAGTTTTAGAAGTTGCTTCTGAAAAATTCTTGCTTGACTTCTTTGACCTCTGGATTCCAGAAAGTTTAATTTCATTCAGTCTTTTTCATTATTTACATACAATTGATGGGCAAGATTATCTGGAAATGGAAAATGAGTTGATCATTATTGCTATGGTTTCTCTTCAGATTGTATAAATCTTTCACCTTTTATTAAAACTCAACTCTGTATGTCCCTTCATATTCTGTTGAGTTTGTGGAGGTTCCTTTGTCATTGTCTGGAGTCTGTAATAAAGTGGCTGAGGGTAGAAGACTGAGGACAATATTAAGGTTTCACTGATAAGCTGTCAACCTTTTCTAGTCATGGTTGTATTCTCCTTAAAAGGCTAAGTCTATAGCTGGGGAGTTGTCCAGACCTGGCCATGTTATTGAATCTTAGTCATTCCCTAAGGCCAGGATTATATTTCTTCTGATATCATTGATGCTGTGCCATACCTCTTTCTCATATGGTCAAGCCTCAAAATGGTCCTACTTCCTATAATCTCATAGTTAATTACTGCAACATGTCT